TATCTATCGCAAAGGAAATGTGTATATAAGAAGCAATAAAGCCTCAGTGCACTCTGGTCCTGCTTAACCCTCAATCTAGAATCTTGTCTCTTATTGGGGGAATTGCTGTATCACTACAAGGGATTGCTATGCTCTGCATACTCTCTTGGATAATCACTACTAAGCTCTTTTAAGAGCTTGTTCCTACTTCGCTCTCTTGGAGGAAAGGTTCACCCACTGGAACCTGGAGCCTTGTCGTAGGTCCAGGGTGGGTAGGAGACGACGAGACCCCAACCAAGCTGCGGCAGTTTGTGGGGTCTGCAGTGGTTATGGTGTCTGGTGGAGTGCTTGGAGCCCATGGGAAGCACTAGGAGCATCCATTAACGGAGGTACCCAGTCGGAGTGCCAGGTGATCCTATTTGAGGCAAGCAAGGCATTTGCCTTGGGCGGCAATTTGCAGGGGGGCGGCAAAAAAAGTCACCCCCAAACGCCCAGGCAGATCTCTTGTTTGCCTCGTATCCTCGGGCCCTTTTTGAGTCCCCCCGAGGCGGGCGATGGGCAGCGAGAGAGCATGCTCACCTGAGCTCGTCCTGCTCAGCTCTCTCGGGCACCACTAGATGAAGCCAATATGACGTAATTCCGGCTCCCAGCATCACTAAGCGGCATGCAGGAAAATCAGAGCTCCATTGCTGCCTACTCAGCCTGTCCGCCCCCTGCCTGCCTGCCCAGCAACCCCACTGGACCCCAGGGAGGCTGGGTGGATTTAAATTAAAATTAAAAAATGTTAAATAATTTTTGAGTGTTGGGGGGCAAGTGTGTGTGTCTATAAGTGAATGTGTGTGTGTGTGTGTGTGTGTGTGTGTGTGTGTGTGTGTGTGTGTGTGTGTGTGTGTGTGTGTAAGTGAATGTGTGTGTGTGTGTATGTGTGTTTGTAAGTGAATGTGTGTATGTCTGTAAGTGTGTGTGTCTGTAAGTGTGTGTGTCTAAGTGAATGTGTCTAAGTGAATGTGTGTGTATGTCAGTAAGTGTGTGTGTATGTGAGTGAATGTGTATGTGTCTAAGTGTGTGTGTGTCTAAGTGTGTGTTTGTCTGTAAGTGTGTGTGTCTGTGAGTGAATGTGTGTGTCGGTCAGTGAGTGTGTATCTGTCGGTCAGTGAGTGCGTGCATCTGTCAGTGAGTGCGTGCGTCTGTCAGTGAGTGCATGCGTCTGTCAGTGAGTGCATGGGTCTGTCAGTGCCTGCATCTGTCAAAGTGTGCGTCTGTCAGTGAGTGAGCGTCTGTCAATCAAAGTGTGGCCTTGACAGGGGGGTTTGGGAAAATTTAAGTACGGTGGGGTGCCCGAGCACCATCCTGCCTAGGGCAGCACAAATTCAAAATACACCACTGCATTGACCTATTCTGTTTAATGCAGTGAGAGCTTTCAAAATATGAAAAAAATATATATATATAACAGTTTCAGTTTCTACCAGGAACTTTCATCAGGCTAGCAAACATGTTTGTTATCCTGATGAAAGTTCCTGGTAGGAACTGAAATGTCGATATTTGGAGTAAAAAGAAGCTTTATTTAAAAATCCTGGGAGTGCTGATTTTTTTATGTTCTGCATGTCTAGTGCAATCTAGCACCGGGTTCTACATTTTTGTAAGTAGGAGTGCAAGGCTTTTTCTATCTATCTATCTATCTATCTATCTATCTATCTATATATATCAAAATTAAAGCTCTAGATACTAAACTTTAGGTTTTGAAGAATTTGAAATTGGTTTTCTCCAAACCAGGAAGTGGTTGATGAATTTTCTGTGTTTTCAGTATCACTACAGATCTTTTCCTAGACCTTGTACTATGTTCTCAAAAAACAATTGGTATCGTTTTTTTATTATTTAATCCAGGGAAGTGATTATTCCAATTTAACTCAAACTGGGAGTGCGGTGTAACTCATGGCGCACATTGTTGGGAATGAAAGGGTCAATGCATTATATTATACAGTTTCCCAAAATATGCAAGCAATGCTCAAGAGGAAAAAATGTCACCAAGCATTGCAATTACACAATCCTAGCAGAGAAAAATATTTTTATTTCAATCTTTTTTTCCCATCAGTTGTATGCATAGCCAAATTGTCTTGAAACGGCATTGGCCTGACATTATTATTTTAGCTATTTCGTTCACAAGATCCTGTCACTAAATTTGTAGTCGCCCCAATCTAGCGATATGTTGTGTCATTAGGCCAGAGCAAAGTTATTTATTTGTTTCTGCAATTTCATGTAGAAGTTGTCAGGTGCACATTTGGAATCAAGGCAGACAGACATACCCTATTTAAAGCTTGCGACTGTGTGACTTAACTTTTCCCTAGTCACCCTGTCCATCTCATCACTTATTTGGGGCCAATTAGTGCCTTCTTTGAAAATCATTAGAGAAGTATTTAAGATTTGTCGACAGGCGCCTCAATGTGATTCATTAGAGCTGCCACTCTAAAAACAACAGTTTACCCTTCAAAATCAAGCTTCCCATTCTTCAATATAATATTAATTTTAAGAAAAGCCTTATTTATTAGAAATGTATTTAGTCCAGAAACCAGCATATTTGTTAATGTTTCTATACTTCAGTTAACAATCCCATTGCGCCACAATCACTTAAAAGATCTTTAAAATTGACTCTAGAGATTCCTATACAAGGAACAATCAGTAGAGATAAAATATCCACTTTATTATAAATAAAATCAAAAGCAATAGCACATAACTTGTGCAAATTTGCAAAAAAATATACAAACGTATATAAAAAAGCCAAACTTGGCCAAGAGCCCTTTAGGAATAGCAGCTTCAAACATAATACTTAAATAGAAATAATAGTGCATGTGCTTAAGTGCAAGAGTGCAAAGAGTGGTGTTTACACTTAAGCACATGCACTATTATTTCTATTTAAGTATTATGTTTGAAGCTGCTATTCCTAAAGGGCTCTTGGCCAAGTTTGGCTTTTTTATATACGTTTGTATATTTTTTTGCAAATTTGCACAAGTTATGTGCTATTGCTTTTGATTTTATTTATAATAAAGTGGATATTTTATCTCTACTGATTGTTCCTTGTATAGGAATCTCCAAAGTCAATTTTAAAGATCTTTTAAGTGATTGTGGTGCCCTGTTTTTCTGATATCTGGTTCAGTATTTGTTTATTTTTAATAGAGGTTGGGAGTGACCTCCTGACAGTGGCTTGCCTGCACTGAGTTGATTACCACTTTCGCCACCCACCCATCTACTGTTTGTTTATAAACAATGCCATTGTGTTTATACAGATTTGTGTCCCTCAAATTATTGGTACTATGAAAAAAGGATACAGTTGCGATTGGCATCTAAAGACCCAAATTATGCAGATGAAACCTATACAGGTTTGTCAGTGTGGGATTACGCTAATAATGCACTTTGCAGCCATAACAAATACATATTTTATGATATAATAGTATGAATCCTCTCCTTGGTCTATTTAGCAAATCAGAGTGAGCTTGTAAAGTCCTGCTATTTATATCTAGCAAACTCAGATAAACTTATTGTGGCGAAACCAACCTCGCCACTGTGAACTGGAGAAGCCTGGTTGCTCGCCTGCTCCCTTTGGACTATGGCCCTGCAGGTTAAACCGTTTATTTCCCCTGCAGAAAGGCTTATTTGTGTGATCTGAGTGCCATTCATCTAATAATGTGCACTCAGATCCCAGCTATCTGGGGATATGTGAAATGTCTGTGTGTTATGTGTAAATGTGACTTTATGTATTTTAAAGTGTTTTGTGTCTTTTTGCAACCATGTGCTTAATGGAGTCTTGTGTCTATCCTGGGAGATAATTGAATTACTTATCTCCAGGATAGAAGACTCTGAAACTGGTTTGGGCCAGAAAGCCATGCTTCATTTAGTCACAAAGGACTTTCCCTTAACTTTTGAACCCCTGGTCTGATTCGTGCCATTTTTTAATATGTTGTTCCCCTGAATGGATTGATTATGAAAATGTATGTTTTATGTTTGTGACATGTATATTTTAGAAGTTAGAAATATTGTGTAAAAACTGTATTCCTCTGCCGGTGATAATGAGATTACCCATTGTGTTCAGTAATCATATCACCTGCAGAGGGGAGGATTTTGTGTGGGAGTGTCTGGGTGTATTGTACGGATTGATTGGTTGTTTTGTAACGCCCTGTGGGCTGTACTATGTTTGTGGATTGGGAATAAAAGAGACTGTATGTGACAGTACAGGGAGTTCCTGTTTTAACCCTCAAAGTGAAGTGTCGTCTCATTATTGGGGGAAGGATTTATTGTATGCTGTTCCAGTTTGACTGCTAGGAGAGTAAACCTATTTGTATGGTTCCTATTCAACTGTCTACAGCATTCATATGCTTGAGAGCATTCATATGCTTCTCCGATTCGGTGGTTGTGGTGTCTGCCAGAGTGCTTGGAGTCCTCAGGAAGCGCTAGGAGCATCCTTCAACGGAGGTACCCAGTCGGGGTGCCAGGCGATCCGTTACACTTATCTCTGTGCTTTTTTATCAATCTCTTTTTGTTGTCAATCTAAAATGAAGACATGCATTGCCAAATGATAATAAACAGTCATGAGGCAAGGCAATTAAAGAATGGTAGTCAAAACAATACTGCAAGTCTAGGATCGGTAGTTTTTGGTTATTATAGAAGTAACTGACTTTAACTGAGTCCTCTGTTCCCCCATAGGAGATCTGCAGTTAGCCCTAAAGTGACGCAGGGGTAGATGGGCTAAATGCCTCCATGGTTACGGGTTGCTGCTCAGATTGTCAAGGAGCAGAGGCTATCACTGATGTTGCAAGTTGTGGGAAAGTGGCTTAAAGCCATAAGCAGTGGGTTTGAGGTGGGGGGAGAGATAGATGGTGAGGGGCACTTAGACCCCTTTGTCAGCGGAAGGTGAATGCGTGTGCAGCGGAGCGCTTATTCGCTGCATAAGCTTATATAACTAACAGACATAAAACGTTGCTAACTCTCTGTGCCTAAAGTAGACAAACTGCGCAATAACATTAAGTCATTCAAGTGATCCCTGGGGTTGTGGTGCTACTCCGTTTGAAGGCAGAAACAAATGGGCGCACCACCGCCAGATTCCAGGTGGTCTTCTGCATGAGAGATACTGGAGGCTGCTCTCTTGTATCAGCGGGCAGCAGCCCAAGTTGCTGAAAGATGTTGGCCACTTCTGAAGCCTCTATGACATTTAGAGTCCCGGACTCTCTTTGTATTAGTAGGCACTGTGGTGCACCCCATTTATAGGGTATCTTCTGTTTCTGTAACTCAGTGGGCAGCACTTGCAGCGACCTGTGCCAGTCCGTGGTGGCCCTGGAGACATCAGGATAAAACTACACCCTGTTCCAAATTATTATGCAAATTATATTTTTCTCATTTACCTAAATAATTGATGTAAATTGCTGTAAATTGCTGTAAACAGTCAGCTTAATTCTCATGTTATCAACTATTAAGAACACAATTCAAATTTTATTGAACAAACCTCCTAATGATAACAGTATTTTTTTTAAAACATAAAAAACTTACAATGCACTGTTCCAAATTATTACGCACAGTAAGTTTCAAAACACTTTATAGGTTGTAAAGAACTGAAAATTGTCATTTGTTGTGTTTGCAGCATATTTACTGAAATCAAAAGCTATTTCAATCAAACTTATAACAACATTTTAACTTTTTAAGCATTTTAACAGGTCACGTTACAGTTTAACATAGGACCCCTTATTTGATAGCAGCTTCACAAGTCTTACATCCATTGAACTTGTGAGTTTTTGGACAGTTTCTGCTTGAATTTGTTTGCAAGATGTCAGAATAGCCTTCCAGAGCTGCTGTTTGGATCTAAACTGCCTCCCACCCTCATAGATCTTTTGCTTGAGGATGCTCCAAAGGTTAGGATTGAGGTCAAGGAAGGAGGGAGGCCACACCATGACTTTCTCTCCTTTTATCCCCATAGCAGCCATTGATGCAGAGGTATTCTTTGCAGCATGAGATGGTGCATTGTCATGCATGAAGATGATTTTATTACGGAAAGCATAGTTCTTCCTTCTGTACCAGGGAAGAATGTGATCAATCAGAAATTCCACATACTTTGCAGAGGTCATCTTTACACCTTTGGGGACCCTAAAGGGGCCGACCAGCTTTCTTCCCATGATTCCGGCCCAAAACATGATTCCACCACCGCCTTGCTGAGGTCACAGCCTTGTTGGAACAGGGTGGCCGTCCACCAGCCATCCACTACTCCATCCACCTGGAGCATCCAGGGTTGCATGGCACTCATCAGTGAACAGGACTGTTTGAAAATTAGTCTTTATGTATTTTTCTGCCTAATGCAGCCATTTCTGCTTGTGAGCATTGGTTAGTGGTGGCCGAATAGAAGGTTTATGCACAGTTGCAAGACTCTGGAGGACTTTACACATTGATGTCCGTGGGACTCCAGAGGCACCAACAGCTTCAAATATCTGTTTGCTGCTATGTAATGGTATTTTAGCAGCTACTCTCTTGATCCGATGCATGGATCTGGCAGAATCTTCCTCAATGCACCTTTATCTGCACGAACCTGTCTGTGCTCTGAATCAGCCACAAATTTCTTAATAGTGCGATGATCACGCTTAAGTTTTTGTGAAATATCTAATGTTTTCATACCTCGACCAAGGCATTGAACTATTTCACTCTTTTCGGCAGCAGAGAGATCCTTTCTCTTCCCCATATTGCATGAAAATGGTGCTCTGCTTAATAATGTGGAACACCCTCCTTTAGTAGTTTTTCCTTAAATTGGGCTCACCTGGCAATCTAATTATCACAGGTGTCCGAGATTGTTTTCAGTGATCAAAAGAGCCCTGAGACACAATGCCATCCATGAGTTAAACTGAAAAACAAAATATTTAATCTTTGTGACACTTAAATAGAATTTGCATAATAATTTGGAGCAGGGTGTATAAGGAATGTTTCTCAAAGTGATAGTGAGAGGCGTTGTGCACCACGGACAAGAAGGCTTGCCTGTCCAGGCCATTCTGAAAGTGGATGATCACATCTCTACTGGACAGTGATGTTGTAGCTTGTGGTGTTGGTAGCCGTTAGCAGCCATCTAGGGTCAAAGCCTTGGCTTGTTTAGGAGACAAGAGGCCAGTAAGTAATCTCCTTATTAGGTGTGGGATCTCAGTCAGGGTGATGCTGTCAGGTAGGCCCCTAACTTTCACGTTCTTTCAGCTTCTACGGTCTTCCATCACCGCCATGTGGCACTGGGATTGGGTCATTTCTTGCCTGAGCGTTGCCATCTCTGTTTCCAGGCTAGCAATGCACACCACGTGAACAGCGGTGGTGACCTCTGTGTCATGGAGGCGTACAGACACCACATTGATTTCTTCCTTGAAGGAGGCTAAGCCAGCCGTAATACTTCATCAAGGTAGGCTTTCAGCGTTGCTTCTGTGACTGGAGGGCTTCCTGCTCTCCTCTTCGTGACTAGTTGCTCACAGCCCCTTAGGTCGGTCAAGGAGTCCCCACTGGTCGAGCAGGAGGGCTGTCCGAGCAGCGCCATGTCTGGCCTTGTGTAATCTCAAGGCCTGCACAGCAGATCACTGATATCCGCTGTAAATGGGAGTTTTTCTGGCCGCTGTTTTTTGCTTGTGCGCCTCATATCATAGGTGGATTAGGATGCGCAGAAGGGAGTCGGTTGTGGTAAGTAAGCGGGTTATTTTGCCGTTTTTAGCTTCAATTATCTCGGAGCCCCACTGAAACACGTCCATTGAGTATGGCTGTTGGCTCCCTCCCCCCAAGCTTATTACTATGCTTTAAAGACATATAAATATAATATTTAAGTATACATAACGCAAATAAGGACTGTATTGTATATACAATAAAAATATTTGTTTATTAATTTTGAAGTTGACCTTTTTCACTAAATATGTGTTCAAAACTAGAGAAAAGCTGTTAATATTTGCTATTATTAGTGAATGTTTAAGATGTCCTGTGCTTGCTCATGATGCTATAATAGTGTTTAATTACATGTGTAAAGAGTACTGGCCACTTGCTTGAGATCCAGACCTTTTCCACTACAAAGTTTGCCCCTGTTTTAATGCTACCAATAGAGTGAAAGCACCGCCAGCATTCAAAAGTGACCAAAACATCAGCCATGAAGCATAGGAACTAAAAAGTGGTCTGTGGTCACCACCTGCAGAACCACTCCTTTATTGGGGGTGTCTTGCTAATTGCCTATAATTTCCACCTGTTGTCTATCCCATTTGCACAACAGCATGTGAAATTGATTGTCACCCAGTGTTGCTTCCTAAGTGGACAGTTTGATTTCACAGAAGTGTGATTGACTTGGAGTTACATTGTGTTGTTTAAGTGTTCCCTTTATTTGTTTGAGCAGTGTAGAATGTGACAGCAGGTAAGAACCATTCGGCCCATCTAGTCTGCCCAATTTTCTAAATACTTTAATTAGTCCCCGGCCTTATCTTATAGTTAGGATAGCCTTATGCCTATCCCACGCATGCTTAAACTCCTTTACGGTGTTAACCTCTACCACTTCAGCTGGAAGGCTATTCCATGCATCCACTACCCTCTCAGTAAAGTAATACTTCCTGATATCATTTTTAAACCTTTGCCCCTCTAATTTAAGACTATGTCCTCTTGTTGTGGTAGTTTTTCTTCTTTTAAATATAGTCTCCTCCGTGTTGCGTAAGCTATCACCATAGCAACCACGACTTGACTCACCCTGAGCTTGCCTACTTTACCATGTGATTAGCCTTAGCATGAGATAGCGACACATTATGCAATGTATTAAATTGTGATTTTAAGCTATGCCAGATACATATCTATGTAAAGTTTAAGCTTCATCTCTGCTGTGTGAATTGTTTATTTAAATGAAGCGAGCTTTACTAATTGAAAGAATATTTTTTTTCATAATTGGTCTGGCCTTTTTATTTATAATAGCAACAGGTATTTCAGCAAATAGCGGATGGCCGGTAAAATGTAGAAAGAAGATTGGAAACAGAACCTAGTAGTACCAAGTATCTCCCACAGTACTGCTAAAGTAAAAGGAAATAAATAATTATTTAAAGGGGCTGTGTACGGTGGAGAAGATGTTAGCCACGTCTTCTGGATATTTAGACATATATACAGTGGATTGGATGCACCGGCTTGTATTTACTCCCTCGGAGGACTTTCAGTCGTGGTTGGCTGGTTAAGTTGTCTCTCGTACACGTGCTTTTTGCTCCATTCAGCTATGTCTGTTTCTTTACTTCCTCGCCCCTATCCCTATTCCTCCTCCATACCTTTTCTATTCTTTCCTCCATCTTACTTATTTTGTTTTAGTTTTCTTCTCCCTTCCTCTTAGCACTCCTACGCTGGTTTAGGATTTTTATTTTTGTTTTCTCCCATATATGGAGAACATTTTCTTTGTTTGTTTTCTCCTTCTCTTGTTCAGTTTGGCTAAAGGTATATTTTGGATCATAGGCATGCGCAGCCTATTGTATATGGGTGTGCACCCTAAAGCACAAACATATATATATATATATATACACATACATACACACACACACATGTACTGTTGTGTGTGTGTGTGCTGTGTGTAGGTGCTGTGTGTGTGTGTGTAGGCGCTGTGTGTGTGAAGGTGCTGTGTGTGTGTGGGCGCTGTGTGTGTGTGTGAAGGCGCTGTGTGTGTGTGCAGGCGCTGTGTGTGTGCAGGCGCTGTGTATGTGTGAGGGCGCTGTGTGTGTGTGAAGATGCTGTGTGTGTGAGGGCGCTGTGTGTGTGAGGGCGCTGTGTATGTGTAAGGGCGCGATGTGTGAAAGGGCGCTGTGTGTGAAAGGGCGCTGTGTGTAAGGGCGCTGTGTGTGTGTAAGGGCGCTGTGTGTGTGAGGGTGCTGTGTGTGTAAGGGCGCTGTGTATGTAAGGGTGCTGCATGTGTGTGTAAGGGTGATGTATGTGTGTATAAGGGTGCTGTATGTGTGTGTGTGATGTTAGTGTGTGTGTTTGTGTGTATGTGTAAGGGTGCTGTGTGTGTGAGGGCGCTGTTAGTGTGTGTGTTAGGGTGCTGTGTATGTAAGAGTGCTGTATATGTGTGTAAGGGTGCTGTATATGTGTGTTTGTGTGTGTAAGGGTGCTGTGTGTGTAAGGGGGCTGTGTGTGTAAGGGTGCTGTGTGTGTAAGGGCGCTGTGTATGTAAGGGTGCTGCATGTGTGTGTAAGGGTGATGTATGTGTGTATAAGGGTGCTGTATGTGTGTGTGTGATGTTAGTGTGTGTGTGTGTATGTGTAAGGGTGCTGTTAGTGTGTGTAAGGGTGCTGTGTGTGTAAGGGTGATGTGTGTATAAGGGTGATGTGTGTGTAAGGGTGCTGTGTGTGTGAGGGTGCTGTTAGTGTGTGTGTTAGGGTGCTGTGTATGTAAGAGTGCTGTATATGTGTGTAAGGGTGCTGTATGTGTGTGTTTGTGTGTGCAAGGGTGCTGTGTGTAAGGGGGCTGTGTGTGTAAGGGTGCTGTTAGTGTGAGGGTGCTGTGTATGTAAGGGTGCTGTATGTGTGTGTAAGGGTGATGTTTGTGTGTGTAAGGGTGATATATGTGTGTGTGTGATGTTAGTGTGTGTGTGTGTATGTGTAAGTGTGCTGTTAGTGTGTGTAAGGGTGCTGTGTGTGTAAGGGTGATGTGTGTGTAAGGGTGATGTGTGTGAGGGTGCTGTTAGTGTGTGTGTAAGGGTACTGTGTGTGTAAGGGTGATGTATGTGTGTGTGTATTGTGTGTGGGTGGGGGGGCTGTTTAGTTAATATCCCCCTTCCCTTCTTACCTTTTGTAGGGAGGGAGGACCACGCTGCTGCCATCCCTGGTGCTCCAGTGGTGAGTGAGATCAACGCTCCGACCTCAAGAGAGGAACCAGGCGGAGCTGCTTGGCAAGAGCTCCCCGGGTCCTCTCCTGCCTCCCTCCATGCTGCTGTGTGTCTGTGAGGGAGATCTTTGATCTCCCTCACAGGACCATGGAGGGAGGCACATAGCACGGGCAACGGGGATTAGGGTATGCCCAGACACACCCGGCACACCCCGTGCGCACGCCTATGTTTTGGACTTTTTAGACCTCATTTGTATGCAATTTGTACTGTAATCTGCACTGTAATAGGCCCCCTGGTACTCGGAGGTGGTCCTACCCCATCGTCTGACCTCTCATCTCAAGTACTTCAGGATGTGGGATAGCTCATAGCTATTGGAGCTGTTTCTTGATGCAATGCACAGATTACTACTGTATTCTGTTTATTTTGCATTTATTTTCTTATGTGACTTGTAATGAAAAATAAAAAAATAAAGATGAAATGAAGAAATGCATTGAAATTGTATTAAGTACTCATTAGGTACTCATATGGCTTCTATAACCAACTTTGTGTGAACAGCAGTCAGAAAGCATTCAAAAACAAATTGTCCCTTCTATTCCCAAACTGTGTCTAGTCCACATGTTAGAAATGCCAGTTGTGTCCAGTTTGAAAACTTAGATATGATTTCCTGGACTTAAGCTCCATGTTATTCTCCTCCATGCTCGCCTGGTTATTTTCAAGAAGTGCCATGCTCAGAGGAGCTTCCTATACCTGAAGGTAGCATTGACAGCTTCCCCCTTAGTATTGATCACAGCAGGCTGCAGTTAGTCTGTTTAATATTTAGAGTGGCCTTGGAAGCAATATTGCTAAGCCGGGTATAACAGTTGAACTACAAATTAATTGGTAAGGGTCCCTGTAACGGATCAACGGGCACCCCGACTGGGTACCTCCGCTGAAGGATGCTCCTAGCACTTCCTGAAGGCTCCAAGCACTCCAGCCAACACCATAACCACCGTAGACTCCTTCAGAGAGCAAAACAGGAACAAGCTCTTACAAGAGCTTAGTAGTGATATAGCAAGAGAGTATGACTAGCATAGCAATCCCTTGTAGCAGTAAGAGACAGCACTCCAATAAGAGACAGCACTCCAAATTGAGGGTGAAGTAGAACTGCAGCTTTTAATCAAACACTCTGCTTTTATGCCCATTTTACAAACATAGTTCTGCCCACAGGGTTTTGAAGAACAAACCAATCAATACATTACAACACAGCTAAACACTCCTATTCATACCAGCAGAAATCCTTCCCTCTGCCTGTGATACAATTACTGAACACAATGGGCTAACGTAATTATGCACAATATTCATAACTTTAAAAGTATACATCACATTCACATAAAAGCTACTTAATTTTCACAATAAGCATACTCCGAATACAAACATGTGTCAAAATCATACAAATTGGTCCAGTGTTTCAAAATCCAATAAGCCTAAATAATGCTTACACAGGGCAAAGTCTCCCAGGGGCCATAGTCAGAAGGCAGGAGGCGAGCAGACAGGCTTCTCCAATGCCCAGTGACGAGGTTGGTTCTGCCACAGCCCCCTATGATAAATATACTTGATTTGCTATGACTACAAGTGGCCCAAAACAATGACCACTAAAAGGTATTTTCCCACAATTCAAAACCTACCACTCGATCAACCATTATTAAATTGTATATTTGTAATAAGCACACTGAGTA